AACGCTTTGGTATGCCTCAATGGCGTTTTAAGTCGCTGTATCAAATGCAGATTATTATTTAATAATTTGTTTAGAGTCTATATAGACCAGACCCTAAAGCCTTTATTCAGCCAAATAGAGATTCATGGACAAACAGCTAAACAGTTAAAAACAAATTAAAAGAATGAACAAAGTTCTTTTTGAACTCACTCAACTGTACCAATTATAAAACTGTATACTTCAGTCCTCTCCTAAATGTTAAGATTACTTTAGTACAATATTCACCCCCAACCAAATCTATTTCAAAGTAGTTTCTATTAGTGGAACTAGTCAGAAAAACTGGTATATACATCTCATTTCTATCTTCTGGCATTACTTGCATCACATAAATCACCTCTGCCTGAAAAATTAGCTTCTAATCTCGTCATCTGGATATGCTGCGCATTTGCTAGTACAAATATTCTTTGAGGATTCAGCTAATTTGTCGTCACTGTGATTTGTAAATTTGAAAGGCAGATCAAAGAGGATGTGATCAATACAAGATTCCTTTTTGATTTTCATCTTAGGAGCACAAGTTCCCTTTCATTTCTACAAAAATGTGCACCTTTCAAAAGCTATTCATTGTCTGATGTGCACCGCTTCCAAGCATTCCTTGTATAGTTATAAAAGCCATTTAATTGACAGTAAACACTTAAAAATAAATGAGCTGGCACCAAGGAGCGATAGATTTGATTCCTGAAGGGCCGAGTTTCTCAATTGCCATGCAATTGGGAAGTGTATGTGTGTGTTCGAGTGGGGGGGGTGGGAGGGGACATGGTGGAAGAAAGAGAACTGTAAAAGAGACAGAGGATCATTTCTCACTGAAAACAGACTTCCTTCACACCTGATTCCCCCTCTTTGCCACTAGATGCAATCTAGTCAATCTCAATACTCGGTGGTGCATACATGATGTGCGTTCAGGTTTCTAGTAGTGACCGTACGGACAACTGACTGAGAAGACCAGAATTATTCATGCTCTCTCCACACACTACTACTACTCCTCCTCCTCCTCAAGTTAGGCTCGCTCGCTGCAGGGAATCAGTTAACTGGCATCCAGCGCACAAGGCATTTGGTGCTCTGCAACAGAAACCTTTAATACGAGATGGTCTATGATTACTTTCAAGCTGTTCCAGTCGTCACTTCATTGCATGGCAGCCGGCCAGAATGGCTGTAAAGTCAGCCTGCATTCGTTTAGAAACACACAAACAAGATCAGAAACCACAGAATGCTGTAATTGTGCTTGAAAGGTTTTCAAACGGTCAATTACCTCAAACAGGAAAAAGCCAATTAAAAAAAAACTTGCAAACAGATGCAACAAACATTTTCTGTTACATCAGTTAGAATGTCAAGAATTTAACTCAGTCTTGCTAGACTGTCCAAGATCATCTACAGTGACCACAAAGTCCTGTCCACCCATAAAACACCGATATGAGGCTACAGAGGAGCTGAAACAAGATGTCAGAGGCACATTTCAGCCCCTCACTCCATCCATGTTACGGAAGATGTGGCACTGAACAGGGTGATGGATCATTATCTGCCATAAAAATCATGGAACTCTCTCACACACACACACACACACACACACAGAGATCCTCTGGACGTCTAAATACAATTGTACATTTGTACTGATTACAATTAACTACTTCTAAATGCAATGACCATCATTCTTCCACATGTTTCAGTTGTCGGTCAGTGCACTGTAGAAAAAAAATGGGGGTATATCAGGACTTTGTGGACACCCTGTACCGTGTCTGGAATACACTGTGCCAACAGGACATTCATCTATAATAGTAATCCGTGCATTTGATATAGGACTTTCAAGTCAAAAGATCACAATGAGTTTCACAGGATTTACTAAACTGAGAGCACAGCGAGCTGGGTGAAGAGCACATATGATTATTTCACCCCGTTTGCAAGGTTCACCTACTCTCCAAAGCAACGTACATAGCAATAACATGCTAAAATAGAGGCATACCGCGCCACCTAGTGGCGGTACCAACCGTCTAGGAACATGGGAACAGAAGCTGTTCAGCCCCTTCCTTGAGCCCATTCAACCATTAATTAGATCCTATCTGAGCTGTACCCCAACTCCATTTACCCGTCCTTTCTCCATATCCCTTGATACCCTGACCTAACAAATATTTATTGATTTCAGTCTTGAAAATTCCAACTGACCCAGCAACCACAGCCTTTTTTGGGGGGAGGGAATTACAGATTTCCAAAAGGCACAAGTTTGGGTGGAAAAAGATGCTTCACCACCAGCCAGCAACTTACATTTCAGCTCTGATGCATGAAGGACGCTAGGTCAATACAAGCTGTTGCATTTATATAGGTCCTCTGATGTCGCAAAGTACTTTACAATGTGCTGAGCACATGCTCAGAGGTTGATGGTGCCAGGTTGGACACTATGATTTTTAGATTTCATGATTATGGCTCAACTATGCAACAAGACTGATCTAGCATTTCATTATAAACACTTTAAATACAAATGGGAATACCGCCATAGCTACATTGCCATTTAGGCAACTATACATTTGAAGGCTAACCCTAAACGGATCTAGTTTTATTGAGGACGGATGATTTTCCCTCCAGTTTCCAATGTAAACGTGGCATTGCAGCTTAATCCAAGCCCGAGGATAAGGCAACAGGATTCAACCGAGGGAAAGCTAAGAAAGGAAACGTTTTGAACTACCAATAACTCATGGCACAGTGTAACTGAAGCTGGAACCACATTCCAGGCAATGGTAGAAGCTGTTTTATTAACATCGAATGGTTCTGCTTTTTCCTTTGTGTTTCACTTCCCTAGAGATGGGGATCGCTGAAGAAATACTGTTTTTTGCCATTCCCACATGGATAGCATTAAAGGAGATGTGCTTGTTCCCTATTTCCCATTTCTAAACACTGGAAAGAAAAATACGTATAAGGAATATAGATAAATTTAGCCTTCGTTTCTCTCCTCCACACAGGTTGAAGATAAAGTCACATCAGTTATTGAGCATCACCTATTACACCAATGCTTTGAACGAGTGCCCACTTATAGCTCCAGTTTACTTGTCCTACTGTTATGCAGGATGTTAATGAGTTTGGAAATTTATACAGGCAAGACAGCCCATTTGATTTCAGCTAAAATATAGTAGAAAGAATTAGGAATGAATAATAATACTTGCATTTGATATAGTGCCTTATCTTTCTGTAAAACATTTGTTGAAAGCTTTGATACTAAATAATAATAATAATCCTTGACAAGTGCAAATCAATGCAATGCCACGTTTGAAAATAAATTTGTAACTATAAGATCAATGTCGGATTTGGGGTTTAATTGTTTTACGTTTTGTTTACAAACAAATTTTGAACATTCCTCTACACATTAGCTTTACCTGTCAAGATAGTCAGATTTTCTGAGTTGAAACCCGCTTGTATACTTTACAAAAGCTTTACATGACGATTCAGTAATGTGCCAGCAGTAACTCCACCCTCCATAGGCTGCAGATCATCCAAAACTCTGCAGCTTATGTCCTTTCCCACACAAAGCTCCATGACCCCATCACCCCCCCACTCTCACCCGACTCCACTGACTCCCCATCTCTCAGAGTTCAAAACCCTCGTCTTCTCCCTCAAGGCCCTCCACGGCCTTGCCCCTTCCTACCTCTGTGACCTGCTAACCCCTTATCAATTGGTCTGCTCCTTCTGCTCAGCAGGCTCCGGCCTGCTCCACGGTGCCTCAGCCATTGGTGATTGGGCCTTCAGCCTCTCTGCCCACACCCTTCAGAACGCCATCCCACATTCCCTTCGCCTTGTTGCCTCTCGTCTCCTTCAAGGCACGTCTCAAGATCCACCTCGATCGCACCTTTGGCCACACTCCTACCCTCCCTGTCCTTCACCCTCCCTGGGTCCAAATCCCTGACTGTCCAGCGCCTTGGGACGTCCTCCGGACTTGAAAAGTGCTGTACAAATATAATTTTGTATTGTATTAGCTCCAGTAATCGGTACATTACAATTGCTAGGAGCAAAAGCCAAGATTCCAATCTCAACCAAACTTCCTCTGTCCTCTCCTCCCTTCCCCACTTATTGCACTGACAACATTTAGTCATATGTTTTAAAAAAACACAGGGAATTCAATTACCCCAGTGAACTTGAATTAGCTTTTGACATGATTCAGAGGTTGTTTTGAATCCAAGGAATGTGCTGCCCTCCTCGTTTTTCAGGACTTGAGCCTAACCTCAAAGACAGAACCCATACTTCTCAAAAATAGGCCGAGATTAACCGTTTTCTGTATCTGAAGTGGAATGCATCCTATGAGTGTAATTAAGGAGATTGAGGGTACACAAGTTGGTGGATAACTGGATGTATTGGCAGCTGGCTGATTTGTAACTCATGAGCTGGAAACTTTCATGGCACCTTTGACATCAAAACATCTCGAGGAGCTTCTACAATAATTACTATCAAGGAAAGTGACTTTTTGTAGACATGATTGAGCATAACAAGGTCCCACAAGCAGCCAAGAAGTGAATGACTAATTTTATCTGGAGGATAGTGGACGGAAATTCCACAAGGATTCCTCATTAAGGAATCTTAAGAAATGCTGCAAATTAGGCATCAACAATAAAATTGAAAATGGTCAAATATAGGAATTTCAGCGAAAGGAACATACAGAAGAACACTCCAGTCCTGTGTGTGTGTGTGTGTGTGTACACACACACAGAATGGGCGACAATGTGTAATATAAAAATCCGTGGATTTTGGATACAGTGCTTATCACATCTTCAAGACTTCTCAAAGGGCTTCACAGCAATTACTGTAAAGTGAATTGACTTTATATTTGTTGGGGGAAACCCGACAGCCAATTGCGCACAGCAGCGTCCCACAAACAGTCGGTGACTGAGTGACCAAATTATTACTTTTAATTAATTAAGCTGGTTAAGCCTTTCGAAGCTCCTCGCACGGGAGGGAGAACACCAATCCACGGCTGACAAAAGACTTACCCAAAGTGGTGCCATCTTCGCCCATGATACACTTCATGGAGGCAATGATTTGCTCCGTAACAGGTGGCGACATGGACGCGGCGTAGACTGCACTGTGGGAATGCGAGCGCAGATAGTCTACCAGCTCCTGCAATGTGAACAGCTCAGTCAGCTCCCCTGCACGACATAACTCACCCCCTCCGTGCCCCCGCCCTTAAAACCCCCCCCCCAAGTAAATCTCTACAATATCTCGAGTCTTCAGAGGCTGAATTCCTTAGTCATTGGCTTCTCAACAGACGTTTCTGCGTGAAGTACAATGCTGTGCATTCACACTTCTGAAACAGAGAATCTTTGGAGAAGTCAGCTTACTTGGTGCTGATCCACTGTACACCTCAACGGTCAACCTCAAATTGAAATGCAATCCTCAAACATTCCTCGCAACCCTGGGAGACTTATTAACACATAGTATAATGAAACTTCAAACTAAAACGGACACAAGTTAAAAACGTGCTAGACAACTGCTCTTGCCAGTTGATGTTATTTGAAGGATGTTGAAATGTGTAACCAACCACGCGATTGACTTCTTCCACAAAGCGAGACCGATTATTGCATCTGTCCATAAAACATTCGCTGCTATTATAGGATCCTCAAGTTTCTCTTTGGTGTCTATTTTCCATTTCCACGGTTGTAAATGCTTAATATTGCGATGTATTGGGAGTTCTGCGTCCCAACAGCACCATCTGCAGGTAGATAGAGGACTGGAGCAGCTTTTGCTGGCTCAGAAACGAGAGAATGTTTTCAGTAATATGAAGCTATTCAGATAAGTTATCCAGCTTGTAACCATTAGAAACTGGATATCTTAGGGACGATGAGACTCCTATCAAGTTTCGGATCATTTCGATACAGTCGCACTAGTCTGTGGCGGACTACATTTTCACCTGCATTTTTGGTCGTCAAAAAATTAATAATAATAGTGATTTGGTCACTCAATCCACGACTGTTTGTCGGACACGGTTGTGTGCAACTGGCTGCCGTGTTTCACAAACAAAATAGTTAATTAACTTTACATTATATTCTGTGAAGCGCTTTGAGACATCTCAAAGACATGATAAGGCTCTATATCAAAAGCAAGGGTTATTATTATTATTTTTCCACTTCCCCCTGCTCTGGGATGCCACCCCCAGCTCAGATGCCCAGCCTGCAGTGTCAAGCGCTTTCAGACATCCTCCCGACGTGAACAGTGGAATGTAAATGTAAATCTGTATTGTATTGGAGTCGAGCAAGATTGTAATGTTAAAGTACTAGAAGGTTATTAGTTTTTTTTAAAGTATCTATACGTGTAGACATTAAATAATAATAATCCTCGCATTTGATATAGCGCTTTTCACGTTTTCTCGACGTCCCAAAGCACTTCACAGAATATACTGTAAAGTGATTTGACTGTATATTTGTGGGCGAACGCGGCAGCCAATTGCGCACAGCAGTGTCCCACAAACAGTCGTCGATTGAAAATGACCAATTTATGATTGTTTTTGTTTTTTGGAGGGATTATTATTATATTATTATTAGGCATGTGGAGTAAACAGTATTACTTTTGAATTTGCCACTACGCCCGCCCCCAAACTTTGGAAGTCTCTCCCTGAATCCCTCTGCCTTACCCCCTCCCTCCCCAACCTTCAAATCCCGCCTAAAGGCCTTCCTTTTTGATTGTCCTTACCGTTACCACCCCCCCCACCAACCCTCGGTGTCAGACTCCACCGCTGTCACGCCATCTGGGGTGTTACCCCGTGTGAAGGGCACTGTGTTGTCCTTTATTGAGAAGTGTCCTACCACTAACCATCACTAGGTGGAATAGCTGATCAAAGATATCCTTGTCCTAAACAGCCCAGCTGCTGCTAAGTCATTGCCATTTGCTGTATTAGGGAGATTTTACCTAAAGGGCCACTATTTAAAAATAAACATTTTGTTACTCTTGCACATCTTCCATTCCTCCAGTTTTCCTTAAGTGCAGTTTTCCCATATTCAGCAACTCTCCACAAACAGAAACACGTGGTGGACAAAAAAGAGTTGCTCCCTCATTGAATGCTCTCATCATAAGGAGCAAGATTACGCAGTGAAAACTGGGGAGGGCGAACCAATTGCGTAAGTAATAATAATCCTTGCAATTGCTGTAACACCTTATCACGTTGTTGTTGAGGCGTTTCAAAGTGCTTCACAGAATATACTGTAAAGTGGAGTGACTGTGCGTTTTGTGGCAAAACAGTACCAGTCAGGGCAGCAGGAACTCCAGTATTCAAGTGTGCATTCGGTGCACTAGTTCGGTAGCTCTTCCAAAGAGCGGGCACGATGGGTCGAATGGCCTTTCTTCTGTGTTATAAGATCACATTGGGTAGGTTTCCTTACTCCACACGCCTCTGTTTATCTAGCAGTAAATAGGAACCTGATTGGCGGATAGGTGCAATAATCCCTTCAAATTATTTTTATATTAAACAAAAACAACAATAAAAATTTGGTCACTCAATCAACGACTGTTTGTGGGTCGCTGTTATGTGCAATTGGCTGCAGTTTTTCGTCCCTAAAATCTACGGTCAATTCCCTTTACAGTATAATCTGTGAAGCGCTTCAAAATACATAGAAGACGTGATGAAGTGCTGAATCAAATTTAAGGATTATTCTAATCAACTGGTTGGGATGCAGACAGCTTTCATTACTGTACCTTTTTGCCACCAATGTACCCGCCAGCTCCTCCAAAACTCTTGGTGAAGGTTCCCATCATGACATCCACATCCTTAGGACTGAGGTCAAAATATTCCACCACACCTCGGCCTGTGGGTCCAAGAGCCCCAATACTGTGGGCCTCGTCCAGATACAGATAAGCCTTATACTTCTTCTTCAAAGCTACAATTTCAGGCAAGCGAACTATGGAGCCTTCCATACTGTAAAACAAAATGTTAAATTACGTGAAGGATTAATCACAGTACCTTGTTTGTATTACAGAGTAGTATAAACCCTTCCTTGTGCATTGTGCTTATGGTCTCCTCCTTTCGCCCCCTGGCTCGTTGTCAGACTCCGCCACTGTGCAGCACTCCAGGACGCTACGCTGTAGTAAATGGCGCTATGTAAATGCAAGTTATTGTTGCGTAGAACTGCTTAAGATTACAATTTAGCTCAGGGCTTGAGGTTGAAGTGACACTACAGTCACGTGGGTACAGTTGGTACTGCACAAACCACAGGGGCAAGAAGTCAAACTAATGTTTCTAGATACAGAACTAGATCACTGGGCTGTCCAGAGCCAAGAAACACTGACCGTTGGTCTAAAGAAAAGGGAAGGAAACCTCAGTGTCTCTGGAGCCTTTTTTTATGTGGAGCCATTATATAACTGAGCAATACAGATGACAAGATAAGCTTGCCAGATAAATAACATTGATCCAAGTACTCAGGGAGGGGGGAGGGGGGTGAGAGGACCTTTACTTGTTGATGGTCACAGAGCAGGATTAATAAAAAGGAAAGTGAAAATGCAATACAAAGAAGCCAATGATTCGTTCAGTTTTTTTTTAAAAAATCAACCCTCTCACAACACATTTTCATATTCTCCATGGCAAGGGTTTGGAGGAAGCGATAGAGACAACAATTACATGGGAAGTCTGCATGGGAAAAAAATGTAGAATGTTGACTGGTCAATTGGAACTGCAGCTCCCAAGCCTTTCCTTTTTCTTATCTCGATCAGGCAGTGAGACATTTGGCTCCTTGGACTTCCTACAGCACACTTATTCCTCAATAACCCAGGGTGAAAAGAAACTGGAAAAACAAAACCATATTCTATGAATATTAATCCTTACATTTGGCAATGCAAGGATTTTGTGTTGGGAAGATGTCTCAATAGTGCTTCACACGAGCCTCTGTAAGGTATAGTGACTGTTTTGTGGGCAAATGTGGCATCGCAGCAATAGTTCTGCCCTCTCAATAAGGTAGGTAATCGGAACCTGTTTAAGGGGTAATTAATTGAGCGCAAGTTTTAAAGGTTATGTTAAACTGTTGGATTTTACCATAAAATGCTGCCCCAACCCTTTGGAACTCCATCCCACAGTCCTTTCGCCTCACCCCATCCTTTGCCTCCTCCAAGATCTTCCTCGTCGACCTTACCTTCGGCCACCCTCCTATCCCTGTTGATCCCACTCCCTGCTCGGGACCAAATCTTGACTGTCCAACGCCTGGGGACGTCCTCCCGACATTAAAGGCTCTATATAAATTGTTGTCTCCCTCTCCTCTCTGCTTTTCTATTGCCTTTATCACTTGATTGCAATTCCTTCCTTCCCCATACTCAACAGCAAAAGTATTTGTCCGCACTGCACATTTCAGCATTAGTCACACACCGTGCAGAGAGTCTGACTGGATTTTGTTTGGATTGACATGGCATTGCAGTTCTACCTGTAGATCCCTTCTACCACGATGAGAATCTTTTTCCAAGGCCTGCGAGTCCGAGGCTGCCCATGTACAATGGCATCTTTCAGCAGCTTCTCCAAGCTTTGCATATCTGAAAAGAAGAGTGCATTGTGGTGACTGAGCGGCCAGTCATACACAAACTACCATTCATACCATTGCCTGTTGCCTACAAAAACTACCCTTTTGTCACTTTAAACAAGGCATTCTAGCCCCAAATTCATTTAAGAATCACAAGTAAAGACTAGGTCACTATACCCCTAACGTCTGGAACTCCTCAATCCCTCCCACGCACCTTTCTTCATCTTCGAAAATCACTGTACGACTTAACACTTCAACCATGCCTATGGTCACCCTCTCTCCCCTCCTATTCACTGTCCAAAATCACCACTCCGTTAGTAATTGGGCCAAGTAACAAACATTTGTACTGCCTACAAGTCATCCAAACCCCACAGCAACACTGCAGCCTCCCAATTACACCTTGTAACATTTGGTGGAGTCAGAGGGATGAGTTTATTCCTTTACGTCGTTGCTACATTTTGCTTTTAGCTCACCTTAAATATAACCTGTGCTTCTCTTGCAGCTGACTCAACCCAATGCTTACACTGGAAAATCATAAAACAGATCATAATAATTTGCTAATATCATTTAGAAAGGTGTTGGTGGAACACACCAACCTTTCTGAGTCACAGTTTCAATATTCCAGGCCGGGGAGTGTGTAATGTTCTTTGACATTGGATTTCACCTGCTGTTCAAGTACACCCTACTTAAGATTTGAATACAGTCACGATCAGTAATCATTATAATTCTGCCCTGGTACTATTAACTACACAATGTGGCAGCTGTGTGAAAGATAACAACATGGTATTATGTCACTAAAACAAAGTAATCTCAGTGGCACATGGTTAGGGTTTGTAGAGTTCAATAGGACACAGATCATGTCAACTCCCGCCTGTTATAGTTCATTGCACTGCTGCAAATGGAATTGGACCGATGGATGAATGTGGATTTCAAAATGCTCTTAGTGCTACCTATGAATTCTCACCCACCAATGCTGCAGAATCCTGTGCTCGAGTGAGTTTCTCACTATTTGTTATTGCAGGATTCAGAGTTAATGGTCAAGTCACGATGAGTGAATCATGTTGTGAACAGCCCATGTTTTCCAACCCCAATTACTTAAATACTGTCTTGTGACATCAAGTGTTAGACCCTCTAGAATGTGGTTCAGGTATTTAAGAACTAGTGTTTAACTGAACCAGCTATTAGGGCTTTGGCTCCAAGAGTTTAGACTATACCTCCAAGCTTATCAAAACACCTAGTTCAACTTCAGGGAAACCCTCTGCTACTTACCTTCCCATATTAATAACTTGTTCATTTGACATAGTGCCTTTCACGTCTTCAAGACAAATCAAAGCACTTTACACAATATACTGTAAAGTGAATTGGCTGTATGTTTTGTAGGCAAAATGCGGCAGCCAATTGCGCACAGCAGTGTCACGCAAACGGTCGTGGATTGAGTGACCAATTTTTTTCTTTAAAGGGATTATTATCCCCAGAAAAGTGATCCGTCAATCGACTAACAACCAGGCACCTACTTACTGCTAGGTAAACAGAGGCGTGTGGAGTAAGGAAACTTGTCCAACATTTTGCCTTACCTATGAATCGAACCCAGGTATCTCACTTGCGAAGCGAGCGCTCTAACCACTAGGATATGTAGGAAACCATAATGTTTACTTTTAAATGCCACTCTCACTGGCTGAATGGACCCACCACCATCTGACTGCAGAACACAATTGTCCCAAGTCTCGTGCTCTACTTATTGACATCAGATTTCATCCACAAAATATACAGTCAATTCATTTTAAAGTATACTCTGTTAAGCATTTTGAGATGCCTCGACGCCATAACAAGGTGTGATATCAAATACAAGGATTATTATTAACCTTTCGGTATTAGATTAGCTTCACACTCCTTAATCCCATTTTCCCAAGTTTATTTCATAGTGCCACTCTCAGCACCTCTGGAATACATGCAGTTTATCCAAGCTGTTCCTGAAATGTATTCCTGGAACTACTTACTGTTGTGCTTGAAAACTCTGATGGTTGCACCTGACAGTCTGGCTCCAAGGACTAATGAGGCATGGTTCAACTCGTCACTCAAGAGAAGACAGCCCTGCGAATGAAAAAGATTACATTTTTAAACCCCCCCCACAAAAAAACAGCTCCACGTGATCTCTCTAGATCAATAAGGGACGAAAGGAATTTGCAAAAAAAATACAGTACATCCTTTTGTTCTTAAAATGGCATTGTATACACACAGGAACAATTCAGAGCAATAACTGAAGAGGAGAAAACACAGATGACATCATCACCCACCTGCTGTTCTTGCGTAGCTCCTAGCAGCAGGTTCAGAGATTTATCAGAGCTGTTCTCAGGTAGGTTATCTGTACTGATTAAGTTTAATGTGCTCTTACGGGGGTGGGGTGGATATAAACTTATTTATCCACTTCCCCCTGAAAAAAACTGCTCAGTTGTAACACAACCCTGGCTTTAAGTGACAATTTGCAATCACTGACCTTTGCGTTTACATGACAAGAACCCATTGGCTATGTTCCAGCTTTGTACAGCAGCAGTCACTGATGTCTTTATAAATTACGCAGTCATGCGAGGATTTATACAAACATTCAAAGTCAATGTTCTACAGGCACAGCCCTGTTAACTTCACTGCTTTGATTTGTGCTACATACAACATGACGACAGTGCACTGCTGAATTTAACTTTGTTTATGCAGGGATAATTGTACAGTATTTAAGAAGCGTTTGACTTCCTGCTGACTATGAACAATACTTAAGAGCGTGTACAAACAACTAATCCCAAACACAAGATTGTCAAAACAAAGCAGAAATACATTTAAGGTCACCAAGATAATATCCAGTAGAGGTTCATATCAACCTCCATTAAAAATGCCACCAAAATAACCAGAGAATACACCGGCTGACAAACCTTGCCAACAAGTGATGGAATATTCATAGAGTTGGTTGCAAATCCCATCCCAAATGTCAGTGCTGATTCAACGCCCAGGTATCTAGCTACCAGCTCTTCCAGTTCTTCGTGTTTGTCGAGATTACCTGTGAATGGGAACCAACATTGAGAAATTGAAACGGTGTCTGGCAATTAAAGCAATGAAAACTTTTGTATGAATTCTGCACAATGCATTAGTCAGAGGAACTCGAAATGTTTTAACAAGGAAGGGCATCCAATGATAAATATTCAGAACTGAGGTTAGAGCATAGCCTTAAGGCTATGGGGCCAGTCACTGCATTTAAAATGGGTTAATATTTATATAGTGGGTCTTTCAGAACAATTAAATACTGAAGCACCAGCTACCTGGCTCTGGATCAGACCAGATTAACCTGCACCAAGCTGGTAAACAGCACTGATCTCACACACATCTCAGTGAATGGGAAAGCAGAAAGACTCTGACAAATGACCAGAATGAAACCTAGCACGATATTGTGGGCATTCCTCCTCTCAAGCTCAAAATATGCACCAACTCCCCTACCAGTAGAAATAGCTTCTCCCATTTACCCCTGAACTTTGTAAACCTCTATTAGGTCCCCTCTCAACCTTCTCTGTTCCAGTGAAAATAAATCCAACCTCTCCAATCTCTCCTCATAACAAAAGCCCCTCATTCCTGGTATCATTCCGATTAAATCTTCTCTGCACTGCCACCAAGTAGTTAACATCTAAAGCGTCACTTGATAACCAGGACATGAGGAATTTATACACACACTGTTAATTGTAGTACGGCATTTCAAGAGTTCCAACACAAGGAATTATGTCCTAAAATTTGAGTTAAACCAAGCTAGTTGGGGGATCAGAACACATCTTCACACACACTTGTGAGAGTACCCAATGCACTGGCCTAGAAATCAATTGGAATATTTAAAGGGGAGCATGGATGTTTGCCAAGCAATTGTATTAAGGGATATGGGAAACAGATGGGGAAATGGGATTAAAACATCTGGATAATCTAATATAATGGCTTGATGGCTGAATGGCCTGCTCTTGTTTATGTTATCATGTAACAGGCCAAACCATTGTCAGCAATACATGAAAACAGCTACAGTAGTCACTGCTCATTGTGTATATTTGCTCACAAATCCTATTAGAACTAAGCATGTGCACTCAACTATTCATAATAACGCAACACCAATGCAGCAAAATTTGTGACAGTAAAGACTGGATAACACAAAATATTCGAACGGGAATGAACCTTCTTCCCAAATTCAAATCACCCTTGATCAGAAGTCAAAGGGTTGAAAGGATCAGTACTGTATAGTTATGGCCATATCAACATCACTTACCCATCTCTTGCCTTGTGCTACAAACACCACTTCCATACTTGATGGTTGTTTCAGTGGCTGCATCTGCACAGAAGCCGTAGCTCTCAGCAAACCCCAGGTAGTTGTAAGAACCCATGTTAATAACATCTTTGATGACTTTGCCAGTAATCCTGCAGTCAGAAGATTAACAGACCAGCATTCAAGTTTCAGCAGCGGAACAAGTATACCTAACTCTGTATATTCCGAGAGGGGTCCCGTTTTAAATATCTTATTAGACTAACCATTAATGAATATAGATTATAAATAAGCTGGTAATCAATTACTGTATCATTTGCACAAGTGATTGAATTTCACATTAAGTCGTCAAAACACACAGCGTCAAGAAACATATCTTTAGAATGCAGAGCTCCAATGACACGATTTTAACAGATAGGTTACAAATAAGGCCGAGGTAAAGTGACTCACTTGAAGGTCCAGTTGTAGTCCGGGGAGACTCTCTCCATCACATCAAACTTTGCCCCTGGAGCACTGCAAATGGGTCGGTTCCAGCTGTCTCGAATTCTCATGTACAGGTTCCTTGTGTAGAAGTTTTCAAAATCTTGGTACAACGGTACAAATTCCTGTAAAGGACAGATTGCATTTGATTTGACTGATTTTAAATTAAGTATTGACTGCATATCAAGGAACCGTGTTCAATCTTCCTTTTAAATATCTCAATCAGTTTGGCATTTAAGGCCTTCTTGGGCAATGGGTTTCACATCCTCGCAATAGTCTGTGTGAAGCCTTTTCTCAATCTCACTTCGAACTGCCTCAGATCCAATTTTAAGACAATGTTCCCTGGTTTTGGACCAGAACCAAACTCACTTAATGACTGGATCTTTCAAGATGACAATGAACTCTAAGTTGTACTATGACCCTTTAAGAGGACACTTAAAAACTTACAAATTATGTGTTGCTTTAAAAACATCCGAACGCATCTTTATCATCATCGTGGGAGTTTTAATTCATAAAAAAAAACCTGGTGGGTCAATCAAAAGGATATTCTCATAGCTGTCTCTCCAACAAAAAGAGTTTAGTTCAATGGCCTTGTGAGTTGTTTTGAAAGGATTTCCTCCAAAGTTACACTTTGTGCCAAGCTGCTAATTTCAGGAAATGTACTTCCGAAACCTTTGGACTAACACATTTCCGAAAATCGGAGTGGTGCACGAGTGTCTGCAGGTGTGGTGTGTGTGGTACGTGCAATTCCTTACTTGGATCTAATCTCTCCATTCCGCACTGCTAAAGTCAAATCGAGAATCTGGTTACATCGCACGTGTGTGCTTAACTAGAAATTTACCAACCTCACAGGCTAACTTTACTTCTGTATTGAGCTTCAATGAAGATAGGGTGGTTATCAAGTGTGTGGATAACAACAACAACAACTTGCATTTACAACTTTAAGCAGTCTTCTGCTATTTACAGTTGGCTATTTCCCGAGTGTTGCTCAAGGGGGTTTTGAGCCTGATCTCCCTGGTGGTCAAAGAGCACAAAGGCATCCTTTAGTCTTTTCCTACATTGTTCTAAGCTGTACAGCTGGCATTCATTTATTTCTGCTGAATACTTTCACTTCATCGTACTTTTTTGTAAACATAAAAAAAGATTTATGTTCCAAGAATGCAAGTGAATTGCCTTTCCCAATCAGTCTCTCCATTCTAGACTCAATGACGCTGTTATTCAACTGTGGCGGAAAGAGAACCTTCAGTTTGTGACAAAATGGAGGAAGGTCAAGACAACAAACTAATGGATTTTTGGAACAAACTACACATCAAAGAGTGCATTAAAACAAAATAATTTAAAGAAAACAGTACAGGTTCAAGAAACATAGGAAGACACTAAAGGGTCAAACAACAATAACTTGCATTTATATAGCACCCTTCACAGCGCCGGGTAGTGTGGAGCACTTAAATATCCAACATGGATTTAGTTTTGAAGCAAATCACAATTTCATTCACACAATGTTGCTACGAAAGGCTTGTGACACAGAAGATTACAACAAATTTTATGGTTTCTTCCATCGGAGCCCAGCTGAGCAACCAATGCAAACGTACATGGATTTCTTTGGCTGGGGGAGTCAGAGGAAGATTTGGGGGGAGGGGAGATGGGGTGGAAGAGAGAGAGCAGGTCCCCTCGAGGAAATAATACATAAGGGAGTAATGGAAAATGGCTGTAACGGCAGAGATTTTACTGCTGTCTTGTTGTGTGGCACGCAAAATAATCTCATTGGAGGAATACTAATCAAGTACCTCACTTGTTCAAAGGTCTCAAAGTGCTTCAGTTTCCTGTAAGGTGCAGCCACGATTTGTCAGACAAATGTCGCAGGACTCATATTTGGTCAAAAACAGATTCCATCACTGTCTAATAAACTTCACTAAGTTTAGCTGCTGAATTCAAGTCAGCTGCCTTTAATAAAATTTGTTTATTAAATCCTAGTTTTATGCAGTTGGATGAACGGATTGATTCAGGCTATTTTTAAGATGGATAATAGAATTACTTTGGGAAAAAAAATCAAGCTGTGACCATTTCTTTTTCCACAGGCAGCAACAAGGAAGCATTATGAGCCATTTTGCCACAAGTTTGTCGAGCCTTTCTTCAAGAAAACAGTATTTTATAGAAGACCAATACTGGACCACGTTCACCTGACTAACATATTCCCCCCAAAACTGGTAGTCAGCATGGGTAACTGAAATTCACTCAACCGTATTATCATAGGATTCCCAAGATATAATACTGAAGCTGTGTAGGGCTCAAAACTTGAATTCCTTATAATGTGCTGAGGCATTTTTCTTCACGGCATAATCCAATTTCTCCAGACAGAGCTACATTGAACGCCTATGAATCAATGCACTGTGCAGTCACATTTACCTTTTGCTCTTCCCGTTCAGTGGCAATGCGACACGGTTTAATCTTCCATTCCCGGAGAAAGTCTCTGAGGTAGCCGAAGACTGTAAGAATCCCATAACCCATGTAAGTCAGCACTGCGACGAGCATAGGTGTTTCCTCAAACGACTGACTGAATGTTTTTTTGTAGAGCTCTCCATTCTGTGTAACGTGATGGATCTGGAACACAAGAAGAGCATGCACACCATTAGTTTGGCAGTATTCAACCTTTGATGACAAAAAAAACCTTGTAACACCTCCAAAACATACAGAGAAACCGTGGATCAAGTTTACCAGCATGAAGATTGGTTGCAGTATTGCAGTAGTATGTACAGGTTGGAAAATCAAAGTATGCTGCTTTGGATGCACACAATGTGCTAAGCTCGTCTGAGCTGTTTGCAGGCTTAAGGACAATTCTGAATACAATTCTATCAGTTTCAATTTGCACAAGTCGGTTATCTTCTTCGAAAACCGTGACCGCATTGCAATGGCAGCGTAGCTTGAGAGGGTGGTGGGGGGGGGGTGGTGGGCGGAGAGAAAGGATAAAAAATTTCAAATCAATGTCAAAACTTAATGGATAAGATGCAATGATTCAAAGAAAATTATTTCAAGATCACAAACCCACGAGGGCAAACAAAGCCATGAGCAAGTCTTCAAAGCTATATTTTGTAATCGATAATTTTAAAAACACACACACACACTCACTGATAGCCCCAGTGATAATGCACCACCCAGTTTGGTAAAAATGCGTCATATAAACCAGGAAGGTCTTTTCGTTCAATCAATCCCTGAGTTGCCTCAAGTTAAACGACTTGAAATAGAGCAGCTAAACTGACCTGAAAAAATAAACATTTACCAGCAATAGTAAATAGAACTCAGCCCACAGCCAGAAGATTAATATATTTATATAAACTCACAAAAAACCCTGTGAATTGAGGAATCTATGAAGCACTGGGCCTTGAGCTCATTTTCCGTAACCAGGCCAACCAGCACTTTTCTGAAAGCAAAGTCATGTTTGTACACTAACAATGAGATACTGTTTTGTTGCGTTTCCATTTCTGAGCAAAATAGAAAATTCCAAATTTCAGTCAAGATTGGACATTTATGAAATTAGAACTGTAAAACCTGGAGGCTATGAGAGTTTTAAACGGCTTGACTACATTAAAACTCAGGTAAGTCTTATCTTGATAAAACTGTATAACCGCCCAAGTCGTACGTACACCCGAGTCCCATTCAGTTTCCAACCGAAGATTTCTTTGCGCTAATTATACAAGATGTGGAGTAGTGTAGCTCAGTGGTTAGAGCGCTCGCCTCGCAAGTGAGAGGACCTGGTTTCAATTCCCGGCAGGGCGAAACGTTAGGCAAGTTTCCTTAGACCACACGTCTAATAATAATCCCTTCAAAACCAAAACCAAAAATAAAAAAATTGGTCATTTTCCATCTACGACTGTTTGTGGGACATTGCTGTGCGCAATTGGCTGCTGTGTTTCGCCCACAAAATATACAATCAATTCACTTTACAGTATAGTCTATGGAGCACTTTTGAGCCGTCTCAAAGACGGATCAAAAGTAAAATAAAATTGCTATTCACATTACCTTGTGAACACTGCCCAATGTGTTTCAATTTCTTCCCCCCCACAAACAACTAACACAAGTACTCTCTTCTCCCCCACCAGCACACACACACTCTTCCCCCCACCTCCTTTCACAATTAATCTCCTTATTCTTGCATTGCGTACCTTAACCCAGACAAGACCCGTCAATCCACGACTGTTTGTGGGACACTGCTGTGCGCAATTGGCTGCCGCTTTTCGCCCACAAAATATACAATCAATTCACTTTACAGTATAGTTTATGAAGCACTTTTGAGCCGTCTCAAAGACGTGATAAGGCGCTGTATCAAATGCAAGGTTTATTATTTTATAAAGCAAATCTTCTCCTAACTCATAACATCTGTGCTGCATTTACCAGCTGCCTTGAAATGTGGGACTGAAGTTCTAATACGTATAAAATCCAATTTAATCGAACGTACACAAGTTTGTCACTAACTCATATTTCGCGCAAATGTTATGGTCCTCTCTGATACGACTCATGTGTTTCACTGTATGTTGTACAATTTGGGTACCTTAGCATGTGCAACCAGAGCATATGGCGAGCACATATCAGAACAGGAATCACAGCAAATAAACACATCTTCAAAACAATGTATGCACAAGGGTAGGTTCATGTTCCAGGGTGTTATTACAGCTTTAAACAGCCCTGTGCAGGTTTCCTTCTTGAATACAGAAAGCACACAGGCTTCAACAGCTTGCTACAGTATTGTGTGCCTCCTTAACGATAAGTAAAAAGTACTTGATGTATGATGCATCATTAATATCTTTTACTGCACTTAGCCTCTGTTTAGAAACATCGGATCGATTATGTGACTGAATACAATTCATATTTAAGATTTAACCAGGATCTCACATACATTAACATGCTGAGTTACTGAATAGTAAATTCCGTCATTTTCATCCTTTAGATCAGATTCACACTTCAACATACTCTGCATGTTGAGTTGGATCTGGGTGAAATGGCACAGTAGCAAATAAAATAATCCTTGCATTTGATATAGCGCCTTATCACGTCTTCTAGAATATGCTGTGAAGGAATTGGCAGCATATTTTGTGGGCGAAACGCAGCAGTTAATTGCGCACAGTTCATGGACCAAATTTTTTTTTTTGTAAGATATCATTATTCCCAGAAAAGTGATCCGACAATTGACTACCAGCCGGGTTCCTACTCACTGCTCGGTAAACAAATGAAGGAAAGGCAGCGAGTCAGTATGAGGAGTATGGGGAGGGGGGAAGGGGGCGGAGGCATTTGGTGATGGCAAGCATCTACACATCTCCTCAGGAGCCTGGTCAGTAAGTCCTTAACCAACCGGCAGAAAAGGGACATTGTCGGGAAATAATACATGCAAGATGCAATTCCCATTCCATCTCATCGTGGCATCTGCCAAATCCCTGCAAACACAGCAAAGAATGTAGTGGGTGGGGTTAGGAATGCCGGCAACTCTTGGCACATTCCTGCAGCAAAACAACAGACCCTCAATACCGCACTGGTTTAAACTCCACTGTAAACGCAAAAGTATAAATGTTGTGTGCAAACTGGCTGTCATGTTCAACCACAAATTACAGTCACACCACTTCACAGCACTGTATAATCTTCAAAGGCTTTTGAGATGTTTCCACAACGTGATAAGGTGCTACATCAAATGCAAGGATGATAATTTTATATATCGCCCCCTAATCAAAGTCATACACAATTAACACCAAGCCACGTATAAACTTTGCTAGTTGCTCGTTCAGCCATTAAAGGTGAAACTGGATTATTCAACAATTTAACACAAATTTAACAAATTCAACAATTTCGGATGAGACATGATGACAAGGTGGAGTCCTGTAGCTCAGTGTGGCGTCCTGTTGCTTAGTGGTTAGAGCATTTGCCTCGCAAGCATCCTGTAGCTTAGTGGTTACAGCACTTGCCTCACAAGCGAGAGTACCTGGGTTCGATTCCCGGCAGGGAAATGTTGTGCAAGGTTCCTTACTCCACACGTCTCTGCTTACCTCGCAGTAAGTAGGAATCCGGTTGTTAGTCGATTGGCAGACCGCTTTCCTGGAGGTAATAATCCCTTTTTAAAAAATTGGTCAGTCAATCGACGACTGTTTGCTGCTGTGTGCAATTGGCCACCGCGTTTCACCCCAAAAATATAAAGTCAATTCACTTTACAGTATATTCTGTGAAGCGCTTTGAGACATCACAAAGCCACAAAAGGAACCATATCAAATGCAAGAATTATTGTTATTAGGTTCCATAAAAATGAAAGTTATTTTACCGTAAAAACCTACCCTTTACGGGAAGGAACTTGGCCTCTGCTCAACGGTTCACTTGAGGTTAGGTGCAAACCGTCAAGCAACTTCCCTGTGGTCCAGTTCACTAGGATGTTAACAGCAATTGATCAGAAGGTATATAACCTCTTGGCAATTAGTTAAGTGCGAATATCAAAAGGCTTTTCCATCACAATGTTTGACGTAAAGCAAGTTACTATCACAACAGGCAATTGAATAGGCTTCCTATTTATTCCCATCGTAACATTTAAACATTTCATTTGCATGTTAATAAAATAAATGCATCACAGCGATCAGAGAAAACCAATGTCATCTTATAGATGGAAATGAACCGAATATTCCTGCAAATACATCTCTGAAAGTACATTACATGGAAATGGATAACAAATGGTTCTTGGGAACACATTGGAATGGTGGCGGCAGAGAGAAACGATTCAGGATTTTAATGAGCCTTCCTCATAGAGATCTTGTGGAACGACTATTCTCCCAGAGGATAGCACTCAACCTGTTTATATTTCAGCACGCATATCAAAGCCACCTGCGTTCCTCATTTGCAGCTACCTCTGTATTACAGATAAACAACTTTGCTTGGATACAATAGTCCCAAAGATTTAAACCAGGGCATGAGAATTTACCTAAATTCCCATGTCATCCTGAGGTCTAGGACACTTCCACCGTTCCACTCATTGCTGATTTCCTGCCATTCCAGTTTTCCTCTTACGTGATCAACTTTGCTCTCAGCTATCCAACACAAACAGTTACGCTACCTCAGTCGCAAAAGAACTGCATTTGCTGATGCAATAAAAATGAGTGCTGTATATATGCATCTTCAAAACATGCACTTCTAATCAGAGAGACTTCCTTGAGATCCAGTAGTGATTTAATGCAAATGTTTCATACAAAGTCTTTCTCAACGCTCCAGTAGGAACTAGCGAATGATCTAACTGGTGCAGCCCTTTCTAAGATAAGTAATCAAGGTTAAGAGCTGAATGCTGAAATTTCTTTCAATGTCCCCCATCCTATAAACAATTAGGATGAGATCCGTTTTTGTTGCTTTAAACCACCAAAAAAACACCTTAATTTAGGTTTATTATTTACTTCTTAAACAGTGAGGGGATGGGAGTGAGGGGGGGAGAGAAAGAATCATAAGACACTATTTTATTAGATGAAATGCAATTAAAAAAAGGCTTGGTCCAGTAACTTACACAGACATACAAACACACTGAATAAGGTCGTTCAATAGAAATAAGGTCATTCACTAGAAGACGGTTGACACTGTTGCAATGAAAA